ATCAATGGTACTCCTTAGTACTAGCTGTTTTATCAATGGTACTCTTTAGTACTAGCTGTTTTATCAATGGTACTCTTTAGTACTAGCTGTTTTATCAATGGTACTCCTTAGTACCAGCTGTTTTATCAATGGTCTTCTTAGCACTAGCTGTTTTATCTATAATACCCCTTAGTACCAGCTGTTATATCAATGGTACCCCTTAGTATTGGCTGTTTTATCAATGGTACCCCTTAGTACTAGCTGTTTTATCAATGGTACTCCTTAGTACTAGCTGTTTTATCAATGGTACTCCTTAGTACTAGCTGTTTTATCAATGGTACCACCTAGAACAAGCTGTTTTATCAATGGCACTCCTTAGTACTAGCTGTTATATCAGTGGTACCACCTAGGACAAGCTGTTTTATCAATGGTACCCCTTAGTGATATTGAGTATAACAATATGTTTTTATTTTGTTTAAATTGTTACATATGTTTTCATTTCAGCCAACCTGTTGCTATAGTTTCAGATGCTAAAACGCATGCTAGTTTGGCATCAGAAATTGAACAAAAAAATCTCATAATTGAGAAAATACAGCGTGAAATGCAAGATAAACTGGAAGAGAAAAATCAGATTATCCAACGTATAGAGACTGAAAAAGACAATAGACTGAGCGAACAAACCTCAGAGATTGCTAAGCTGAAAAAACAAAGGGATGAACTTATACACGAAAGGAAAAGACTAGAGAAATTGAAACGGGAATTAGGGATGAAAATTGATGAACAAAATGCAAAAATTGAAAAGTTACAAGAAAACAATCCGCAATATGATCAGCATGAACTTAGCATGAGGATTGACGAACTACAGAACGAACTTTTAAATGTTTTTCAGTCTTCCAAAACCACTCAGGAAAAGAATGAAATAACGATTCAACATTTACATAAACAATTGCAAGAGAAACAGGACGAAATTCAACAACTTGAGGATTTCCTCACAGAGAAAGAGGACGAATTTGAAACTCTGAAACAAAAGAAGATGTTTGGCTCCGAAGGGATGGAAAAAGAAATGGGAAAGAAAATGGAATTTTTGAAAAAGTCAAAAGAGCGACAAGAAGCAATAGTCAAGGACTTAAAAGAGGAGTTATCACGGAAAAATGAACAGATGAAGTGGTGGAAAGAGAAACACGATCATGAACTTCAGAAACTTCGACAAGACTCTGAAGAGAAGGAGAATATTATAAAGAAATTAGAATCTGAGATAGCCCAGTATAAAAATGATATCGAGAAAAAAAAGAACCAAATAACAAGTTTACAGGAAGAGCTTGAAGATGAAAAAATGAGTAAAATGACCCCAAGAAATAAAGAAATTACGGTAAGATGTATTTTTGTTAATTGCTCCTGTTTTGACAGTTTGAACATTCCCATATCTTTTGCATTTTTTGTGAAAATGTATACTTAATGGTTTATAAGTTAAATGATTTATAAGATGAGGGTATGCAACTTGTGTGATATATGATAAACATTTCAATATGACGTCACACGAATTGCATGATGATCAGAAAATTGAAAAACAAGCTTGAGAAACACCATTCAAATGAATCTGTCCAACAACTGGCTGGTGTTCGTGATGTGTACTTGCTTATTCATGAATCGTGCATATGAGTTTTGCATTTTTAAATACATTTTTTTTTTTGCTCATTTGATTGATGCACGAAAAGAACTTTCAAGATCGTGAAATCTCACGAGTTCTTCATCGCATATCATCATATCTAGATTTCAAAGTTACATACCTTTAACTTATACATCCTTGTTAATTCTTATTGATGCATGGGGGGGGGGGGGTCTGTCTGTAATCTTTGAAACTTATTAAATTTCTATGATTTTATAATTGATGGTTTTCAGACAAAATTTTCATTTCTATAAATTTTCCTTGACTTAAAAAGTAAAATTGGTATATGCATGTATTTGCTTGAATCTTTAATACAGAATATTAATAACAAATTCAGAGTATTTTTATAGAGAAATGTATATGTATCAGGCCTTATCTTTTGAAATTAGCCTGGAAGTTAAAATAGCTCTCCTGAACGCTGTAATTTGCATGATTAGAGAAGCAAGTATTCTATTGAAATCTTTTTAAAATGGATTGTATAAGTGATGCAGTTATTAGCTCTTTTGGGTCTTGCTTCTGTTGTTTCATTGAAGCTAAATTTCCAAATTTAACTCATATTGCAATAAATCTGATATTTCAGCAAAACTAGAATTCCATATTTTCCTTATATGTTATTAATGTTTCATTCAGACAGTTTACCAAAGTATTGATGTATCAATGCCTTTGTAATATTTTATTCAATTTTTAAACAAAAATTTTGACAAAGAACAAATGTTAAGTCGTTTCTTGGATCTTTGCCTGATTAACTTCCTGATATGAACTGCTGGTATGCATACAACCTGCTTTTAGGTTGCTATAGTAACTGTCTCCTCCAATTTCTTTTCTCCTCTCTCTCTTTGGGATCTGTAAGAGTAAGGTAAGGGTGATACACAGTTGCAAAAACTTTAAGAGATGGAGATTATTTTGTGCATTTTTCATTGTTGATCCATGCTATCCATCTTTTTTTTTTTTTGTAAATTTTCTGGAAGATTCATCCACCAAAAGTTTTCATCTATCGCCATCCATTTTTCTTCTTGTCACCATAGTAACCATCATCTCAGACCAACAAATTTGCTCTTTTCATTCACTTACCATAAAATATATAAAATGTATCCCTCTGAAAAGTTTGAATTTATTACCATGGTTACCTTTGAATGGCTCTACTTGTAAAAGCTGCCACTGAACACTTGTACAAGAACACACTCGTCTTTTTCATCCTCCTCTCTCTCACTTTCTCTATCCCTGCTCTCACTTTCTCAACCCATAAGCTTATAAGGTTTATTATCATACTAACATTGCCCTGGGTAATGTCATAAATTCATTTGCATAGCAATCCATGGAGGAAGTCAGCAAGGAGTTGATCAGTGTCAGGGGAGAGCTACAAAAAGTCTGGGACATGATACATGTCAAAGAAACCCAGCTAGAAGAACAAGAACATGATCTACTGGCAGCACTGAGAAAGGTAGTCTCTCTCTCAGACGTACTCAACGTGTGTGCTGTTGTGTTTTATCTAATCTAAAAACTCTAATAAAATAAAACGATCCTCCTATCATTACCTTTAGATATCTTGTATACACTATACAGGATGGTGCATGTCTATTAATTGATTCCTAGATTTGTCCGAGATAATGTAGTCCAGTATTTATTCATAGTATACAAGGCGTAGAATATTTATATTGCAATAAAGCTGTTCAAAATAACTTTTGCTGACTTCCATATTACATGGTAGCTAAATGTATTTGTGGACACTTGTTCATTTCTGTCTGTGGCTGTCATTTACATGTACATGTTGTGAGTGAACAATTACAGCATTATTGCATGACAGATATTTTTAGTATCAAGCTTAATGGCGTTTAATTATTGTCTTGATATGTCACTACCGCTATATTTATCATAATTAGTCATTATACTTCAAAATTTCTGTAAATTTTTCGTAAATTGTAATTAAGTTTTATTATTGTATATTATTATCAATATTGTTTTATATCAATATAGACCTACAATAGTTACTGTAATAATTAATGTTTTACACTTAACAGTGAATATCTCTAGCATAGAGGTGTCTTAGCTTAGTTTATAGAATTATACCGGTTCTTCAATTCCCTTATTACCTCACTCTTTCAAAATTGGTGCTTTATTTCTGGATTTACTCAATGTGTTTAATTAGAACCTGCTTAAAAACCATGATAACTTTCCACCACGTGTATGTCTGACAGACAGACAGACATGACAGACCAGTGGTATTTCATCCATGTTTTTTCCAATAATAATTAATTTCTGACATTGACAGATTATCTTTCGTAACACAAGTTCACTGAGATAAATTGCTCATATATACGCACTTATACTAGATTTTATTACACAATATGACTTTACATGTAAACAATATCTGTCTATCTCCTAAACATTCATTTTTCACATAGCCAAGATATTGAAAATTGAAAAATAGTGTCACATATATTTTTTCATATGTTTGATCATGATTAATTGAAAAAAAACTGTAGCAGAAAGAGAGATTACATAAAACAAAATAAACTACTTTGTGATGTGTACAATTTTAAATTTGCATATTAGAAATCGGTTAAATATATTTACAAAAACTACCATAATTTAAGTCTGTGTAAATATATTTTTTAGTAGAAAATCTATTTCTCATTACTTCAAATTTTCTATAGAGATGATGATGTTTTTTTTTTTCTCATTTAATGTGCATATAATCATCTTATTTGATTTTCTTATTTTAATATTCTTTCTTACAGCAAGACGACTTGATTTCAGAAAAAGATGAAAGTGTGAGAAAATATGATGAGGAGTTAGAACAGAAGTAAGTGTCATGTTTATCAGTGTTTTAGTGCCAACAACAACATTGTTGAACTTCACAAAATAAACCACAAAATTATAGCGGGAGGGTCGTCATCTGCACACGCGCGGGAATTGAGTCCCAAACGACGATAACAACACATGCTAAAAACGCAACAGCTCATGGGTAGACGCTTGTTTGTAAACAATGACACACTATGGCCATCTGATGCATGCGCAGGTGACGACTCCCTCGCTTTAATTATTTTCATTTTTTTGACAAAAGTTGATCAAAATCTGTATCCAATCAGGAAATTATGTCCGTTTGGTCCAAAATTGTCAAAGAAATTGTAGAAAAATACTTAAAACTGTACTTAAATACTGCACCAAATTTTTTGGTCGGAAAATTATGGCAATTAAAAAGATAAATATAGGCTTTTAATCCTAAAGTGCTGCAGTCGTCTGGCTGTGTTGTGTCAGATATTGGTCCTGGGTGACGTAATATGACATGTGTTAAAAGATGGGATGAATGTGGTGCTTCAAACTGCAATGCATTTCCATCTGCTACAGTTCTTCAAAGTTTTGAAAAAATAGGGGTAAAATGTTGTGAATAGTAACAAAATTGACTTTTGTGTTTGAAGGATGAAAAAAGCAATTACACATAAATTTTGTTGCTAGTCTTTTGAATGAACCTATTTGGCTTCAGATTGGGGAGGGGGAACTGATTGCCATGGAGAACCGTTTCTATGGAAACAGGAATTATAGCTGTCTTCATTAGTGTTATTGTGACCAATGTGAAATTTAGAAAGGATTTGATTTAGAAACTGGAAATCTGATTTACAGAACAAACAAAATCAAGATGCTCGAAAATAAAGTTGACGCACAGAAGAACGAGATAATAATATTGCAGGAAATGACATCTGCCATGGAAGATAAAGTAGGTGTTCATTCCTTGTTTTGTTTTTCATACATAGTGTTTTGTAACTATAACTGACGTGTGATCACAGTTTACACTATAGCTATCATGTATAAT